GAGGGCTGACCAGGCCAAGCAATCCAGATAACAGCCTCCTCCCTTAAGCTATGAAGACGACAACTAAGGGTTCCTTTCCGCGATTCCAAAATACTCAGAGACTTTGGCACTAGTACATCAGAAGTCTGAGAAGTCTTTTATTTTGCCCCAAATCTTATGTCTCTTCTTTTGTCATCCTACCTTTATGCATCAGGCCACTTGCCCTCAGGGAACGCCACATCCTGGAGCGCTGTTCAGGTTTACCCAGAACTCACTAACATCATCACTGAAGTTCTCAGTACAATATTCTGCCACCACAGTGTTTGCAGGGGGGATGCAGCTGTACTGCCAAAGCAGCTTTCCATGCTCGAGATGGTAGAAGAATTCCATCGCTCACTAACAGGACATACTATCCTGGGGAACCAGGCCTCTGCCAGCATTCCTACCCCAGGCAGGAACCCTGCATGTGCAGGTGTGGCTATATAATCTCAGGAGCGTGAAAAAGTACTGCCCGAACTTCAGAGCTAACCTGAGCATGATCACAAACAGCCGTTACAGCAGAGCAGTGAACAATACCTGTTGAGATCCTGTCCTTGCAGATGGAGAGGATGCTGCTGATAATGTCCAAAGACTTCAAACACAATAGGCTTTGTTTTGATGTACTCCACGAATGATTCCGTCACTTCCACAGCAATCTATTAGGCAAAGTAAGGAAGGAAAATAAGGCATACAAAAAGAAAACCTGTAAGTGTGAATTTTAGCAGCTTGTATTTTTCAGATGGTTTAGCGCCACTCACAGTAAAAGCAACCGCATTCCTTTTGGGTTGAGGCATTAATTCTACCCCCCAATAAAGGCGAAAATGAAAGCCTCAATATCAGGTATTTTAAGTAGGAGAAGAGGAGGCTACATGTAACCAAAGGATTACACAGTCCATAAACATAGATACATTCAGTTTATCTGACAGCATAAGCACTGCTGTTCACAGATATTTTATTTCCTGAATTCTAGACTGCTTTCATTGAACATCCTGGATAGGAAACAGAATGCATAGGCAGGAAGTAGAGGTGAAACAGAAGAGTTAAATCTGCCACACAGAATCATTCTGTATTTTGTTCTCCATTGGGGATGACATCATTCACCTGATCACACCTCCCACTGTCTATTCTTAATAATTCCCCTTGCTCTGCTTTCTTAAACACTTCTCAGGAGTTTAACAAGAAGGACACACACAACTCCCAGTACTAAAACAGGCACTTACTATTCATGTGAAATTTTACTTACATTTTGAACATGGTAAAACCCAAGGGGAGTCCCCCGACCATTGTTTTTGAGGGGTTCTGTTGAGAAAGCCTCATCATGCCGATGTAAAAAGCTTTTTAAAAAAAACAACAAACATCACAGAACAGTTCAGTGAAGATTGCTGTGCTGGGAACCCAACATTGAAAGGAAACCCATAAATTTATTCTGCTAAAACTTTACAGAGAATTGAGTCATGGCCTAAAGCTAGGAATATGCTAGTCTTTGGGACCACAACTCCTGTACTTGTTTTGTGTCTTTATTACTCTTATTTTTTGTTCTCTTTCTTAAGAAACTAAGCCTTCCACTTGAGAGCTACTGATTTACTCAAGGGTCATACAGCTTTCATTCCCACTGAGTGTATTGAATTTTTCACATTAAAAGCCATTATCAAGCAAAACCTTAAGATATCTATAACCAGAAACTTAAAGAGTCCACTCTGATTTTTAATTCCTTTCTGCAAAACTTTATTCCTTAATGCTAACACAAAGCAGGTACTGCTCG